AATCCCATACCTGCTGTGCAGTTCACACTTTATATAGTGTGACAGTTCATCTTTTCCAAATACGCCTGGGAAAAAAGTCACCTAAAGTAAGTTTAGAATATTAAAAAATGCTCCTGCATTGAAATTAATTGGAAAGAAAGATAAATCTACCAGCACATGGGGAGTGCTTCGCAGTTCTGCCTTTGTAAACATTGGTAAAAAATAAAAGGTTACAGATTCTTGTAATCTCTGGGTTCTGGAAGGTCAACGTGAACTCAGACAGTGGGCTAATATTTATCACAAACTAAAAACCACCCCCACGTAATGAGTTTCAGAGAGTTTGTTCTGTTGCTTTGAGGGACAACAGACCACTCCAGAACACTGATGCTGTATCTTAAGAACGGTGGAGGAGTCAGTATATGATGGTACAACAACGTACTTTGCATTGCTATCACAGGCACCCTTCTGACACAATTTGAATACAAAACAATTCTGAAGATGGTCCTAATTTTTTGCACAAGCCTAAAATACCTGAAAAAGTGTAGTGATTTGTTAATGTGAGAGCTAATACAATACAAGCAGGAGCATACTTAATTGTCAGTGGAAGTGAAGATTTTAAGGAGGAGGAAATTATAACATTATGAATCTGAAGCCCTTAGTCCTAAAAATGTGCAACTGTGGGGAAATCTTTGAATGGATAAACAATGAGTCTTCCCCCAAAAACGCACATTAGTACATGGAACAGCATTCTTTGGCTCAAATTAGTGAGTTTCATTGACCACAGAAATCTTCCACGTCCATGGACTATTTTCATGGTTTCTATTATAAGTGGCATATGTTTACTAAAGATAAGTTTGTGCTACCATAGGAAAAAAAAATAGGAAAGCACAAACTGGAAAAGAATGAGTATCACTTGTTTAAGTTATAGATTATCTTGAACAATCTTATAGGAAAGTTGTACATACAGAGGACCTAAAAATCTCATGAAGAGAGAGAATAGAGGAGACATGAAGAAAGGCAAGGTCTTCAACAACATAAAGTCTGGAGGATCAAGCTCGTTGAGTCTATAGCAATAGCGTTGGACTCGAATGGTTAAATCGTTTTTAAGGGAGGACACTACACTGATTTTAAGGACAGGGTTGAAAGACAATTGTGAGAACACCGGAACGTATGTTAATCCTTCTTGTGATGCTCACAGTACATCACAAGCTCTTTGCAAAAAATGGTAACTCCATATACAGAACAGTTTTAGTAGATACAAGCCTTTCACCACATTATCTCAGGAATCTGTTAAGCTACCATGAGCTAGATGATGTGGCTATACAAACGTCACGGCCAGGCCAGGAAGGAAGATGTTTCACACTTGATGAACTCTGAGCTGCCACAGTCAGGCTGGTATTCTAGCCAGCTTCTGTATCTCTACATTGCTGCCAGTATGATATAGATACTCTCTAGCTGACTTTATCTGGGCTGCAAACACAATCATTCTCCTCCTGGCTTAAGTCTGCTAGATAGAAAGAGAAGAACTGTGGTTTTTATTAACCATTCTTATTCAGTAGTTCTTTTTTACCTTTTATGTTTACACATTAGTTTATATCCAGAAGATCAGTGGGAAGTTGAATTTCATTCTTAAAAGTGCCACTTTTCCAATCATCTGAAACACAGTTACTTCAGTAACTACAGCTGAACTTGGCTGAACACCACTTGATGAGAAAGAATTTTGTCTGACACTGACTCAAATGCCTTATGTTAAGTTCAAGGTCAAAAACCCATGAGGATTTAGGTGACTCATATCTCCATAGCATTTAGACCTCACCATGTCTAAAACATCCCTCACACATTCTCAGTTTTTTAAATCTCTGTTCAAAATGCCAATATACAGTAGATTTTCTGGACGCATCTATCTTCCTACATGAAGTCATTTGCTATCTGCTCTGAACAGCATAGAAACCTAGAGTTATCTCACTGACTCTGCCTGTGGGGTGGGGGGAAGAGGAGACAGACATTTCTCAGAAAATTCACTCTGACAGCAACCGTAACAACTTTCCTAACATAGAAAATGGGCAGAGCTCTTCAATACCACTACTGATCTTACCTAAGAATGCACAGCTCTGCCAAATCAGAGCTTTTGAACTTCTGATTAGTGGTTTATTATCGAAGCACTCCTCTAGGAGCAAGGACAATAAATAAACCAATTACACTAAAGAAATATCAAGAAATTAAAATGAATGAAATTAACAATTAGACACTGGGTTACTAACTAGCTTAGAAATAACAGTACTCTTGCAAGACATGTATCTGCTCGTTCTGTACCTTATCTCTAGAGTAAGAGATAAGCTATTGCTTTTGTACTAGGTCCTGAAGCAAGCTGGCTACTGCTACAGCTACATCATCTCCTGATCCCTTTCCACAGCCACTTGTAGAGACTGAAAAGACGACTGATAAGAGCGAATGCTGGCAATACTCAGTGGGAAAAGAGGAGAGGGGCATTACCATTAGCCCAATACCTCCATTTTAGATTTCTGCCCAAAAGCTACTCCTATCCCCCGGCAGTGCAATATCATCTTACGTAAGCCCTTAGCAGCATTATCTGGCCAACAGGAATTGTTGGAGGCATTTCCATTGCAGCGGTGAGTGGAAGACACTGTTAACCAGCACAGAGCAAAACACTTCCCAAGCTGCTTCGTCTTAGTCGAGCGCTCCCAACTCAGATCTCGGAAAGAGCAGAAGAACTGATGACATGATGTTGCTTGAGCCATGGTCTGAGAGTGGGTTCCTTCACTAACACTATTGCTGTGTCTCCTAAGACATGGCCCCTTCTCCACAAACAGTCACCCCCCTGGAACAGATTTGGCAGGATGTGGCCTGAAGCCATTTTCTGCAAATAGCAGAAACACAGTGGACGAGATTATATTTTTCTGGAGGCAGGTCAACTTGGAAGCAGACCGCTGAGTACAGCACGATCTTAGCCCATGGAGAGGAAAAGCTCACAAAGTCAAATATCTGAAGTTATCTCTACAAAACAAACAACAAAGGTTTTAATACATACAATCGGAACAGCTTCTACTAAACTAGGATTTGTAGAGGATCTTGCCGAAGTGAGTAATTTTTAACTCACCAACGTATAGCTACAGCAGAACACAGCAAAAAGGGGTTCACGGCAGCCAGAGTCAGAACAAGTCAAAAAGGGGAACAGCACTGCCCAGAAAAAAAATAAAAAATCCAATGGCTCAAAATAGAGAGGGGAAAAAAAAAAAAAATAATAAAGCGCACTCAAACTCTTGCTGACTTGTGACTGCTTGTTGTGGTACTATTCATTGGGTTGGTTTTGGGGTTGTTTCTTTTAATATTTCAAACACTCTTTTCCCACAGGTCACCAGGCTTGACACAGTGTCAGAAAAATCAATCAAAACTGTCAGGTATTATGGTGCACATTTTTTCATTAATAATCACAGAAAGAAATATTAGCAATATTGCAACTAACTGCCAGAGGAAATGAGTCAGAAAACTATACTATGGGAAAAATTAAGGAACTATTAATTAGATTACTAGATTGTTAGAGCTTCTCCATCTACTCAAGATGACAATTAAATCAGACATCAAAATTCATTAGCAAAATGAATTTACATGACTTCACATTGTTTTTTCTCCCCTCCCACCTAGATATCATATCCATAAGATGGAAGACAGAGGTTTGAAAAATCTGGTGTATAAAGTGATTACCTAAAAACTAAAGATTAATTAAAAGGTCTTTATAAAGCATACATAAAACCTTATAAAAAGACAAAAGTGTTTTCCAGTAAGCATGTATGTTTGTGTCATGGCTGTAATGAAACATGCATTAAGTATGAAACATATGGTTTCCATTTTGTTGCCCTGGAATCTATCCAAAGACATTTTATGTTGTTAGCTTAACTGTTCTCCTCAGATGAGAAGCTGTGGAAAATATCTCATCTGAAAAAAATCTGTACCTAATGGATAACTATAAAAGACCTGCTAGATCTGCAGCAGGATACTTTATTAAAAAAAGTCCCCAAGGTTACTATTTAATTACTGGATATTTTTTTTTTTTAATTAGAATTAAGGAGAAGAGCTGCCACAAATTATATGAACAGGTTATGTTGGTAATATTTTCCTTATTTCATAATTTTGTAGTGGTGTTTACGGCACTCTATTGGAACTAGGCCATCTGACCTAACATGAACGCATGACAAAATCATTACTAATGTATCATCTCCCTGATTTTATAGATTTGAAAAAACTTATCTTACGCTGAAAAAGCACTGCTCTGAAGATCACTTTTGGCTAATAATCTGTTTCAGAGGCAAGGATCAGTAAAAATGAGAGAAGAAGAAGAAAGATCATATTTCATTATTTTAATAATGCTTGGGTTTGCCCTGATGCAAAAATAGGTTGTCAAAGAGTTAGCTAAGAATTTCAAGACATCTATCATGAATGCCCAGATTTAAATTTTACTTACATTTTAACAGAAAATATACTAGAAAGGCTGAAGACAAAGTCACAAGGTTAATTTTTGCCACACTGCGCTTAAAAATTCATCCACAAATTGCAAGGCTGCTAACCTCAGTAACAACAAGCAGGCAACGTATAAAACCTCTCATACCTTTGTGCTGTAAATGATTTCAGCTATTGACTTGTTCCAGGAATTAACATGTTGTATTTAAACGGTTAAGCCTGCTGTAGTTCTTATGATTTATTGCTAATCTTTCTTCTGATGAAGGCAATGGAAAAATAGTATCAGGAATAAATTGATAAACCCAACCAGATGAGTTTGGAGACTTTACCGTACTATGTTTCTTTTATTTCATTAGTTGAGATGACTTGGGAAATGGCAGTTGAAAGCCCCCCTTTTGTTACCTTAATATATCACGTGGCTTGAGGACTGCACTCTCTGTAAAGGGCCTGCAACTTGAAAATTCACGTTGCCCATGCTCTGCTAACATAGAAGCTTGTTCATCTTCACAACTCATTACAAGAATTAGCCAGTTATTTTAACTCACCTTTGCCATCTGTGCTTGGACTCCACTAGCCTTTAAAGCAGAAACCGCCTTCTGAGCAGCTGCTGGGCTGTCAAAGTCAACAAAACCGTAACCTGAAATACAAAACATTTCATTGATGAGAGAGCAACCAGCTTATAATTGAAGTTCATACGCTATAGCACGGTTATTTAATACAGTTTTTTTGTTGGTGAAGAGAGCCAATTTGAACTCCAAAGTTCTTCATGTAGTCCCAAAAAACCAATCTACCAAAGTCCTTCAACCTTGAACTGGTGGGGACCCACCCTCGTGGAACAAATCAATTTCCATGCCCACTCATTATCAGGATTTTGTCCAAATTGCTAATAAGTAGTATGGTTGTTCGCTTTGTGTTATCTGGTATCTATCTTCTAAGAGCAAATGTGACATCATCAGTTTATTTCATAGAGATCGACAAATAAAGCATAATCTGTTAATTTTTCTAAACTAAAGTCTTAGTCCAATTTGAATAAGTGACCAATAAGCCTCTAAGTTACACAACATTTACTCAAAACCGGGAGAGGAATTTAGTTTAAAAGATGCATAGCTACTGTATCATAACCCAACTTTTGGTTGATTAGTTACTTCATTGTATATAGATAAAAGGCACTTAAATTTAAAAAGTAAGTGAAAACTCAGCTTCAGTGAAACCAAGTGAGTTTTGCCCACTGTTGTTACTGAAACCAGAATGTAAAAAATTGTTCTGAAAGCATTTTCTATGCCATATAATGCAATCTTTAAATGTTAAATAAACCCAAAGTTAATTGCAACAATTTCCATGTATTTGCAGTGATTTCTTTTCTTATTCTGAACAACAATGTACAGCTAATGGGTTCTAGGACATCTGAACAGCAATATGCCCTGGCCTTTACAGACACAGACCTTATTGGGGATTTTTAATGCAACCTGGGCGTTGGATTCTCATGTCTCACACCAAGAGGCAGTCAGTTTGGAAGCTACTTCCCCTAGATGTTATTGCAAACTTCATTCTGCATTTTTCAACCCCCTTCCTTCCCACCAGTGAACAGCCTCAAATATTAAAGAAATCCCTCTCCAATGTCTAAGTTGGGTTAAAAGAAAACAAACAAAACCCAACAATTAAAAAAGCTCTACAAGAGTAGAAATGGAAACTGAGGACAAAAAAGTTGTGTAAAGATATAACTGAACCAGCTTTAAAGTCCTTATCTCAGGAAAAACAACTCGAGCAGCCCTGTACATCAGTGCAAGCTTATTTAACCTGCCAAGAAGCCGAAGAAAGCAGCATATTGTTCTGTGTAACATGTGGTGGTGTGGACTGTTAAATCTTGACATGAAACAGAGAGAATTACCTCATATCAAGTTTTGTGCTGCCAAGGCAGAACTAGCTTTCCATACCCAAAACTAGCTTTCCATACCCATGACAGCCCAGGTTATCACCACCACCACACTGCAGGGTGCAATACAGACCAAGTTACACACTGATACCAAGCATGCCATCAAAGCCAGCTTTGCCATCTTTTAGATGAGACATAAACTCAATTACTTATTGCTCCAGTTAGTTCAAATCCCATGGCGTGGTTTTTTTGGCAAGAGCCAGAGATGCTGTCAATCTTTTGGTTAAATTCCAGTTTGGTATCTGCATTCTGCCTACTTACGTTCCCACTGCAATTTCAATGACATGTAGTGAGCTTCCCTGCAGCCTTACCTTGCTGTATATTGTTACAACAGACTGTACTTACTGCTTTTCACCAGCGAGATTTAAAACCTGTATTGGAAAAGTCACTTTAAATCTCTTAAAACATTAATGGGAGAATTGCTGTATCACTGACAGAGCTACTGAATTCTTCAGGAACTGGGGGAATGGACAGAATAAATCAGTTAAGTTCTGTCACAGGTATTAATGAATTAAAGCAACTGAAAAGGGCATCTGCTCTTTCCTAGTCACAATATATGCAGATGACATCTGCATACAAGCTGGGGAAAAAAATTTCTAGAAATTTCTGTTTCTGAACTGTCAGCACCCCTTTAATTAGCTAAGATGGGGAGCTAAGAAGCTGTGCCCCTGCACTGCTTCCAAGTTCTGCACAAAAACTGCATCTCAATTAACGATGAACCTTCCTCTCCTGCCTCTGCCTATCAGCTTTATACTCATTCATGAGTTTTACGCTTATTAACATTGCTAAGTCAGCTGACTTAATTCTTCACTATGCTTAGAAATTATCCTCTTAATTGTAAAAAAAGTCTGAAGTCTGAAACTTCAGTGTCTGCTACCACACCTTCTCCCGCCATGTAACGTTGCTGGGATGTGATCTCACTGTAATTGCAATGAGTGATGAAAATCAGTGAACTGATGTATCCAGCTTATCTAGAGGACTTCTAGTATTTTTTTCCAGCTGCAATTACACTGGTGAAAACGAACCCTCTCTTTGCTCCCAATACATTCAATTGCATATAACAAAACACAATTAGAGGACTGGAACATGTAATTAAATGCTGCTTTAAACTACTCTAATCAATGGAGCTGATTTCCACAATATATAATTTTTTCAGATGCTTAGTACAGTTGAATAGTCTTCTGTAAGCTTCCCCAGTTTCTCCAGGCAAAAGGGGAAAAAGCTGCTTTTAACTCCATTTTTGTTTTTAAAATAGAGGCAAACTGCCAGCCAGCACTGTGCACGTCAGCTTCGCTCCAGCTTGGCTGCACCACTGACACAGGCTGTCTGCCAGCTCCACTGGAAAAAAATGTACTGAATATACTGACCACGGGCAAGAATAAGACTGGTTTACGAGTAAGAGTGGGGAAAACAAAAAGAAGTTGAAAGGACTTAAAATTTAACATTAGTGTATTTTACAGAATCAATTAGGACTTTCAGGTGAATGTAATATAAAGGCAAACATACATACCTTTGCATTTGTTTGTTGTCTTATCCAAAATAGCCTTCGTGGATACAATTTTCCCATACCTAAAACATATTACACATATGTAAGGAAAATGAGAAAAAAACATCCTATTACAACAGATACCCAATTCACATTATTTTATACCCTATCACCCTTTACTTTCAACAAAATGGAATAATATAAAGCCTATATAATTATATAATGAAAACTCATATGTAGATAGAAGCAACAAAAAAGATCAACAATTTCAAGCATGATCTGTTCCTATTCTCCCTACGTTCTCAGTGGCACAGCAGAATCACGAACCAAGCCAGAAAAAGTGCTTTACAGAGAAGAATAAAACACAGTTAAAATCCTGGCACATACAGGAAACCATGTTTTAGACATAAACGTTGACTCTCTCAGTATATATATTTCTCTATATATCTACACACACTAGATAAAGCAGAGAAACTGCCTTGTCAGTGCTAGGCTTGCTTACTAACATGGGGCGGGAAGGGGGAGTAAAAAACATAGCTATCTCCCTCCCCGCTCCCCGAAAAAGATGAAAAACTCTCTGTTCTGGAAGGTGACACATGCAAGTCGGATTTATGAAAGATGAGCGGCAAAGGCGGTAAAGAATTTTCTGTATTTTTAAAATGGAAAATTGAAATGTAAACAATTTCAAGTAAACCCAAAATATTCCTCAAGAAAGTTTCTATTTTCTTTTTTTAAAAGAAAAAACACGCTCATTGCCTGCTTCCCAGCTTCTCAATAACTGGGCAGTCCAGGTGTCAATCTGCTCCGCAGTCCAAAGGTGAGCACCCAGAGATCTAAGAGCAATTAAGCTTGGGAAACAGGCGGAGAGCAATCCCAGCTATAGGAACAATTGCTGTTTCTGAAGTGCTCTGCAAAGTTTATCAGTACTGGGGTTTTTGATCAAATTTAGAGGAGAATTTGTCACTGCTGGTGAAAACTTGCAATTTTCCTTGGAAGTCAAATCCTAGTTTCAATTTAAAAAAAAAAAAAAAAAAGCAACTCCCTTGGCCTGCATCAGCAGCGGAATCGGAAACGAAGCACAGCTTTCCCAAGTTCCTTACCACAACCTCCTCTGCTTGTCAACTACACTTGCTACAGGGCTGCAAGCATACAAGAGACAACGCCACATGAGTTTGTCTTCACACGAGAACGTAACGGGGCTTGTTGCATTAACAGGTATACCTAAGCACTGTGTGCTAAGAGGTTCTTCAGCATTGTACAAGAACCCAAACTGAACTGAAAACTATGAGAAATGTTACCAGCGTAAGAAAGTGGAATTTGGGGAAGAATGAAGTTTTGCCAGTTCACCTGCTAAATGTAACTTCAACCGAGTGAGTGTCATTTCAAAAAGGTATTTCGAAAGACAACTAACTCAATTTCTGCAGCGGCTGTGTTAGTTTTAAGTTCTTAAAAATATATAAGAAGCCTAATAAATAAAGTTAAGCTTAGTTAGTTACAAGTACTCAAATAACTGTTCACTTGCAAAGCAATAGTTATTCAAGGATGAACCCTATTTACAAAGTACTTTCCCCCTAGAGAACATTTAAATACACGTTTCAGCACAGTTATCACTCTTTGTGACCAGTTTCAAGCACCTTCTGTTTATTCTATGAGTTATTGTATGGCTTCAAATAGATGCAAGGGGGTAAACCTGGGACACTGGCCACTAGGTGTTGACTTCCTTATTGTATTTGAAATTGTGAGCATCTACACCAATATAAAATAGAACTATCCATCTATAGCCTAAAACTGTACAAGTGTCAATGAAATTCAGTGCATACCTAAATACAATATGCTAGAAGCTGTAATAAAGCAGTAGAAATTGTGCCTAATAGTTAGACCAGGTACTTCCTTATTAGTGCCACTTATCTTCCAAATACATAATTCCATTTAGAAAGCTCTATACCTTGTAAGTCAAAACTGCTGAAACTTTCTCCAGAATTTTTCAGAGTGCAGAGTAAATGTACATGTTACGAATGAGAGAGGCAAACTGTTCAGGGATGGTGCTCTTCAAGATCCACTACCCTCTTGTGTCTGAAGCCACTTGCACCCAACATTATATCTGTCGGCCAGCATTCTCCATACCCTATCAGCTTCCCTAAGCTTCTTAAAGTGACGAGCTACATAATGTTCTGTAGGAAAAAAATCCCTGAAGGATGAATCACAGAATCACTGAGGCTGGAAAAGACCTCCAAGATCATCAAGTCCAACCGTCAACCCAAACACCACCATGCCTACTAAACTATGTCCCAAAGTGCCATGTCTCCACATCTTTTTAACACCTCCAGGGATGGTGACTCCACCATCTCTCTGGGCAGCCTGTTCCAATGGTTGACCATTCTTTCAGTAAAGAATTTTTTTCTAATATCCAATCCAAACCACCACTAACACAACTTGAAGCCATTTCCTCTCACCCTATTGCTTGTTACTTGGGAGAAGAGACCCACTACAACCTCCTGTCGGGATGTGATCTTGCCCCTGCGACTGCTTCAGTTCTTGAAAGCATAGGAAGTGGTGGTGGTGGTGAAAAACTACAGCACTGGGTATCTACGTAAACAAAGTAACTGCAACCCTCAGCCAGTTTGGCCACGGAGGGGAGTCAGGGGCTGGCAGCTATGGGCTGTGCTGGCCCACAGGTCCTGATGCACACCAGCCCATAAACATGTGTCTGCATGTCTGTTCTTTACAACCACTTCATGGACTGTCTTCCACTGTGCAAGACTGCTAATGATTTAATTCACTGTCCTGGCTATCACAGCTCCTGCAAAGAACCAGCTGCCATGGAAGGCTGCCAAGAAGTTCCAGCAGCGTGAGCCTAGGGACGATTCGGAGAACCAGCATAACAATAGCAGCTATCGCCAGCACTTCTCCTACGATTTTCCGTGTGAATACTCCTCCCAAGTGCTAGCTCTCCACTCATGCCATGAAGCACAGAAACGCAGTTTACCCCACCTCAGCCTGGGTGAGGGGATACATCCCCTCCTTGCTCCCACCATGTGGTCTGATATCAAGGGAAATTACTCCTTGCAGTTCCTCCTAAGTGCTTCCTTCAAATGATGACCATCATGAAAACCTACTTCCTTCCTCCTGAATTCTGAAGTCTTAATACTGCTGTTAACAAAGGCTCTTGCGTTCAACTTCTCATTTGTTAGGTGCAACTGTAATCGAGACCCAGCAGAAATCAATGAGCTATAAACCACATCAAAGTCGTGATGCAAACTAATATGTACTACCTGCTTACAAAAAGCAATATAACAAGCAAGAGAAAACTTGTATTCCAAAGATATCTATGATGTTAGGCCTTGCCTGAAGATCATCATTCCTCTCAAAGCTCATGTGTATCTAGTTGTCTTAAGCACCTTGCTGAGGCTGCTCTTCTGCTCCAAAGCCTTGCCACACGCTCAGTGAGACTTGCCACCTAAGGCAGAGCCCATCTCTCATGGTTGGCAGAATCACTTCTACAACGATTGGCGACTGCTCATTCCTTCTCCTCTAAAGCAATTTTTAAAATACGCTTTCTTTTAAATTAAGTGCTAATCTTGAGAAATAACTGCTAATCTGGCTGGTAACAAGCAACTAGGTATTCCTTATTAAGTAGGTTATTCTTCTCTCCCAAGCCCATCAAATGAATGTTCAGCAGCAATAAAGAGGCAGGTGGTTTGGTTTGGGGTTTTTTTTTTTTTTTTTTTGGAGTGCTATTATCACAGTCTCTCTTTAGTCTGAATTATCTTTGGAGATAGAAAGATGGTTTCAGCTTTGCATCTCTTTTCTATACAGCACTTTTACCAATGTCAACTAACGTATTAAGGAAGAGAGGGCTTGGGTAAGGGGCAGGTAAATAATTGCCAGGGTGCAACTGGTTATAGGATTAAAAGTAACAGTCCACATACCAGTGTACAAGCTATCGTTGGAGTACAAAACACGCATACAAATGTATGTTTGGATAGGAGGTAAAGAAGCAGCTTGTTCAAAAGACAAGTTAGGAAGATAAGCAGTACTGCTCCTTACTGGGATAATGCTCAATGTTGCCCATTACACATTCTTTGTGCAGAAATGAAAGGGTAACCCCACCCACTCAGCTGCCCTAAGAAGATCTGCTGCCAGGCAATATTAATGTCAAAATACAGCACTGTACCTTTGTATTCCATACTTTTGAAGTGGAAGGCTTGAAGCAAAGCATCAACATACACTTTTTAAAAATCACGTTGTTCAGCAACACAGTCAAATCCAGTGCAAATCATCACACTGACAGACTTATTACAAATAGCTAGGAATACTTTTGACATTTAAAACGTCTCTGAAGCCTAATTTTGGCGACCTCCGTGATGATGAAAGGAAAGGGTCCTTAGAAAACTGAGTAAGCGGATCAAACCAAACCAGTGTTTATTTTTCTCCCTTTGTACATCTGCTAGTGTAACAAACATACTTGCAAATGCGAGGGCGATAAGATGCCATCATGAGCATGACAAAGAATGGGGAACGAAGTGGCCTGAAGTCCCTGCCACAAGTGCTATTTTGAGTGTTGAAAGAACTTATCTGTGTGTGCATTAGGGGAGGCACAATATGAACAGGCAGTGAGAGGCTCAATAGGGGTTGTCTGGAATGAATTGTTCAGATCTTCGTCCACAATAGCTTAATGTAATATACCTCCTATCACCAAGCTCACAGGGCTTCCCTTTGCAGTACTTTCAAACTGTGCTCCAGCTTGTGCTGTGAAGGGTTTCTCTACCACCCGATGTTGACTCGGATGCTAACAGACCAGAAGGATCTCTGCTACCATGGAAAGTCCTTGCCTTTTAAAGCTGCCTAGATCCTCCATCCTGAACTGTTCAGAACTTTCTGTGAAGATAAGCAGTGCTCTCTCTTTGCCTAAGTCCAGTCTAGCTGTAAAAAGAGCATTCCTAGAGATCCTGCTGTTATCCCTTGCATTACTGTAGTGCTGTCAGAACTCCTCTGCTATGCAGAAACAATGCCGCATATCTGCTGTGTTTGTTCTAGATTAATTCTTACATCTCAGCATCTTATCACTGCCCTTCATGGAATG